CGAACTCACAGAGATCCGCCTGCCTCTGCCTCCCGAGTGCTGGGATTAAAGGCGTGCGCCACCACACCCGGCTGGAGGACAGCTTTGTGGGTTTGAGTCTCTCCATCTACCATGTGAGTGCTAAGGACTGAACTCAGGCTTGCATGGCAAGTGCCTTTACCCACTGGGCCACCTCACCAGCCTTGGCTGTGCCCGCATTCATGGTCCTCCAGGGCATTCACCCAAGAGTGGGTTTGCTGGGACTCATGAGTGGTTTTCAGTTTTGTCCTAGGCTTTGCCTCCCTCTTGACTCTCTTGGTTACCTCTGGCTTCTGAACTTCCTGGTGTGTGCTCTCCCTCCACTCGCTGTGGGAAAGCCATTAGGCATGGCTCACCCCAGCTCCCGCCTCTTTCCTGCAGGTTGCCTCCTTCAATGACCCTGACTTCCTCAAGCAGCTGGAGATGTCCATAAAGTATGGGACCCCCTTCCTGTTCCACGATGTGGATGAATATATCGACCCTGTGATTGACAATGTCCTAGAGAAGAATATCAAGTCCACCCAAGGCCGCCAGTTCATCATCCTGGGGGACAAGGAGGTTGACTATGACACCAACTTCCGGCTGTACCTCAACACCAAGCTGGCCAATCCCAGATACTCCCCATCGGTGTTTGGGAAGGCCATGGTCATCAACTACACTGGTAAGAAGGGACAGATCTGGCTGCAAATGTCCAGGGCCCCCTACCTTGAGAGTGAGGCTTCCTGGGCACCTTGTCACCTGGTGGCCCTGGTCTTTCCCTGGAAGTTGTCTTTGCTGGTCCATTCTTAAGGTGTGGGTAAACTGCCCCCCCCAGAGGCTGGGTACTTTGGAAGGCAGCAAGTTTAGGTGCCTGGGTGTCCCTGGCCTGGACTCTAGGGTGTGCAGCGAGGCCTCTTTGTCCTCTCAGTCACACTGAAGGGCCTGGAGGACCAGCTGCTGAGTGTGCTGGTGGCCTACGAGCGGCGGGAGCTGGAGGAGCAGAGGGAGCACCTCATCCAGGAGACGAGCGAGAACAAGAACCTGCTGAAGGACCTGGAGGACTCGCTCCTGCGGGAGCTGGCCACGTCCACGGGGAACATGCTGGACAATGTGGAGCTGGTGCACACCCTGGAAGAGACCAAGTCCAAAGCCACGGAGGTGCCGGCTCTGTGGGGGCGGGAGGGGCCCTGTCGCCTTGTAGCTCCACGCCAGGGGTCCCGGGGGCTCAGTCACAGCCTTGGGTCTAACACGTAGGGGAGAAGCACCAGGCTTGTGCCACCTGGGGCTGGAGAGATGACTGAGCAGTTAAGAGCACTGGCTGCTGTTCCAGAGGACCCCGGTTCAGTTCCCAGCACCCACATGGCAGCTCACCACCCTCTGTAACTCTAGTTCCAGGGGATCCAATGCCCTCTCATGACCTCCACAGGCGCCAGGCAAAATACTCACAGACATAAATATTAAATAAAAAGGAAGGGCCACCTATAGGGGGCTGTGCCAGGGGAGGGTGGGGGCATTCCTATGCAGCTGGGTAATCTTCTTGAGAGGCATGGGAATCCTAGCCTTGCCTACTCTAAATAAAAAAGGGATGGTATCAGCTCAGAAGCAGAGAGGTGTAGCCATGGCTTCAGGTGAGGCTGGATCCAGGATCCAAAAGTGCCATGTAGATTCCGTATCCCTCCATTTATGTGCTGGGCCTTGAGTTGACTTCCTCTTCTTCCAGTCTCTGCCTGAAAGGGCATGGCCTGAGGTCCCCTCGGGTTCAAGTTCAAGGTCCCTGCAGGCCCTGGTGACCGTCACCTCCAGGGAGCACTTCCTGGTCCCTTTTGTGCCCCCACACTCCGCCCTCTACCACCCCAGGCCTTCCAGGCTGTCACCCATCACCTCCCTGTTTCCATGGTAACCGAGGGCTTTCTGCAGGTGTCGGAGAAGCTGAAGCTGGCGGAGAAGACAGCTCTGGACATCGACAGGCTGCGGGATGGCTACCGGCCGGCGGCGCGGCGGGGCGCCATCCTGTTCTTCGTGCTGTCGGAGATGGCCCTGGTCAACTCCATGTACCAGTACTCCCTCATCGCCTTCCTGGAGGTCTTCGGGCTGTCACTGAAGAAGTCGCTGCCTGACTCCATCCTCATCAAGCGGCTGAAGAACATTATGGACACGCTGACGTTTAACATCTACAACTATGGCTGCACAGGTGAGCGCGGGAGGGTGGGGTGGGGGCGGGAGGGTGGGGCGGGGAGGGCAGGGAGGAGTCCTGCTTGGAACACAGGAACTTAGCCTGCCTGGTGCCAGCCGCTCACTTTATAAAGGGATGTCCAGAGCACTGCCTTCTCAACCACACCTTCAGCGAGATGCGATTCACCCAACCCTGAAGGTGCCCCATTCCGGGCTTGCCGGAGTTCACAGGGCCCCTCCATCTAGGACCTCTCCATTGAGCTGGGCCGGGTTCATCAGCAGTTTCTCGATTCCTCCCTCCCTTCCCCACCCTGGTAGCCTCTGCTGCACTTTCTGACCGAGAATACACCTGTCCTGGACACTGCCTGCCAAGGGAGTCCCGGAATATGTGGTTCTCATAGCTAGCCTTCATTTCATGTATCTGAACACCAAGGCCTGTGCTGTAGTATCAGGATTCGCCCGGTTCAAGTGCTGAATAGGTAGCGTCCCACGCTCTTTATTTCTCAGCTCGTGGACATTAGGTTGTTTCTGCTTTTTGGCTGTGAGGCTAATGCAGCTGTCAGTGTTTGTCACAAGTGTGTGCACGTGTGTATGTGCAAGCAAGCAAGTGTGCATGTGCGTGTGCGTGTGCGTGTGCGTGTGCGTGTGCGTGTGTGTGTGTGTGTGTGTGTGTGTGTGTGTGTGTACACGTGCATGCCTGCTCTGGGCTTCATGCATGCTAGGTGAGTGCTCCTCCTCTAAGCTTCTTCCCAGCCTGAGCATTTGCTTCTGATTTTGGATCCATATGTTCCCTGGAGTAGAGTTTCTGGGCCACAAGCCGAGTCTCCGACTTTTGCGGGGACTACCCAACTGGTTTCAAAAATGGGTGTACTATTTCCTACTCTCCAAATGCACTGTTGGTTAAGAACATTTCATTCTGGAACATTCTGAGCACCATCTGGCCAGTGCCAGTTCTGGCATTGTCCTCATGGTCAGCCCCCTTGCTCTGTATTGGAATCACCGGTCTGTAAGCATCAGAGCTTGAACCTCGTAAGTGGGTCATGTGCTTTTTAAAATAAAAGGCACAGCATTCACTTCCTGTAGTCGGATGTTTCTCTCCCACCTGCCAGTTCCCAAAATAAACACACAGAGGCTTATATTAATTACAAATGCTTGGCCAATAGCTCAGGTTATAATTAACTAACTCTTACATTTAAATTAACCCATTTCTATTCACCTATGTATTGCCACGTGGCTCATGGCTTTACCTGTCCCCTAACATCTCTTGCTATCTGGGCAGCTGGCTTATGTCTCTCTGACTCTGCTTTTCTTCCCCCCAGAATATTCAGTTTGGCTTTCCTGCCTAGCCTTATTCTGCCTTGCTATAGCCAATCGGCCTTTTTTCTTTTTATTAACTGATGATAGTAATACATATTCACAGCATATAGAAGGATTATTCCACAGCATTTCCCCTTTTTTGTCTAATTAAAAAGGAAGGTTTTAACTTTAACATAGCAAGATTATATTTGACAAAAATAGTTATTGAGAATTATAGTTATGATGTCCAGTCCATTTGTATTTGGCAAAATTAGAGAAAATATTTTATTATCTATCTTATCTTGGTGAGTCTAAAGTTTTATATCTAATTTACCTTTTACTATAACTAAGAAGAACTATAACTATGACAACCTAGTCTTCAAGTCCATCAAAGACCCCAGAAGGGTGAAATGTTACCTAATGACAGGGATAAATTGCTGCCTGGACGGTCACCCAAAGTTCCTCTGTAACATTGGGGCATTCAACTCTGGCCTACAGGCCTAGAATATCTGGCAGACTTTCCTGTGAAGCAGGGAATTTTGAAGGACTACCCTACCTTTTCTTGGCAAAGTTCAGCAGTTGCCTTTTTGTGTGTCCTGCTGGTCCAGTTTTGACAGTAACTGTCAGTAAGTGAGGCAATGGCCAGCTTTTGCCATAAAGAAAACATGGAGTTTCTTCCATGCCCATCATCATCTCTGAAGTGCATTGGTGCTACCAGGAGCAGATGTGTCTCACTATCATAAAAAGTCTCAATTATTAAAACATTTTAAATGCTATACTCTGTAGGTCTTTTAAGTGTTTGAAGATTACCTATCTAGAAAACCTAACTAACATGACTATAAGTTTGATTATTATAAATGACTATTAATTGGTATTTCTTAATTATATATTACATTTTTTGAGCTGCATAAACACAATACCTTAAACGAGTAGAAATATACATACAATATAATAAAATTAACTCTAAGTTTGTATCAATAAACTGAATCCATGCCAATGCAAAATATTTTTGAGATTAACTATAGTTTTTTTTAACTAAAGTAGATTCAATAATCTACCCTTTCCCCCATCATTTTGATATCATATCCCCCTTTCTTCTTTTAGAAAGAGATCTCTGAATTTAATTTTTTGTTTAGTCTTTTTTTTTTTTTTACTATAACCAATAACAATTTGTAACCATACCCCCTGAAATGAAAACAAACATCTATAGCCAATATTTTGGGAATGTGGGCATAGTTTTCTAAACTACTTCCCGCTGGCTGGGGTGTGGGTAATCTTTGGGGGACCCTGAGAAAATCAGGATAATTAATAAGTCTTAGCTGTAATATTCTGTGAGGTTGTATCATCTTAGTCAGCAGCCTGGAAGCTCTTCTGGTTGCTGGATCACCTGGGTCATCATTTTCTTTGGTCCCCTTGCTCTGGAAATACACAAACTTTTAAAGGTAACATACATATCTGTATCAATTCAAGTATAGACTGTGCATTGTGCACAAGTCAGCCAAAGATGATTTTCTATTATGTGTTTGAGCAGGTAAGATATACATTTTGTGTCTTGTAGTTCTTTTAGATTTATTTTTTTATGTCTGTATTCAGGATTTCAGGGGTCTTCCTCAATCAAACCTGATCATCTTTAACTTTGAATGAATCTACAGCCTTTTATTTCATTTGGAAAGAAAAGCATAACCTCTCTCCCGAAGAAACATATTTTTTTTACTTAAATTTTGAAGTCAAGATGTTTTTTAAAATATATAGGTTGGTTTAATCCAGCAGTTTCCATAATCCAATGTCTCTTAGCAGCCAAAAAAACAAAAACAAAAACAAAAACAAAAACCAAAGGCAGCACAGTAACATACAGGATCCAGATTCTGTGTATTTTCTATCTTTACATGGCTTATTATATTTTTTTATTATTCTATTTTTAAAGGAGTTTTTCTATTCTTTTTCTTTTCTCTCACAAGCCTACATATATTTTTGAACATATTATAACCTGTTCAGAGGTTTTTTTTCTGTCTGAATCTGTCTTTACTGCATATCTGTAAACTTTTCTGTCTGTATGAGCAAAAACCCTAAAACCACCATGCATTGTGTGGGTGGAGCTTGCACAGATATCTTAAGCCAGCAGGCAGCAGCTGACAAATGCCTCTCTGTACTGCAGTCCATGTAAGAGACTGCAGAAACCAAGCATACTGCTTAGCCCATGGCAATTGGTGGTCAGCTCCAAATCACAGGCAGCTGTTAGGAGGCAGTTGTTAGGAGATGCATCTCTGCACTGCAGCTGGCATGGGACTGAGACTAGGAAGTTGTGCCTGGCTCCATTTTTGTGTGTTTAGAACCTTCTTTTAAGCTTTTTTAGGTTTTATATGGAAATTTTGGCCCCACACTGGGCACCATATGTACTCAGAAGTTTCTCTCCCACCTACCAATTCCCAAAATAAACACACAGAGACTTAATATTAATTACAAATGCTCAGCCAGTAGCTCAGGCTTGTTACTAACTAGCTCGTACGTTTAAATTAACCCATTTCTCCTAATCTATACATTGCCATGGGGCTTATAGTTTTACCTGCCCTCTAACATCTCTTGCTTCCTGGGCAGCTGGCTCTCATCTCTCTGACTCCACCCTTCTTCCCCCCCCCCACCTTTCCCCATCCCCCACCCTCACCTTTCCCCACCCTGTAGCATTTTCAGTTTGGCTTTCCTGCCTAGCTTTATTCTGCCTTACTATAGGTCAATCAGCGTATTTTTTTAATTTATTTTTTTATTAACCAATGAGAGTAATACATATTCACAGCGTTCAGAATGATTATTCCACAGCAACTCCCAGCTCTGTGAACTCCATGCCTCTATCCCAGTACTCAATTCTGCTGCCTGGGGAGAAGGTGGCTCCTGCCTCGATTGCACATCCTCCACTTCTAAGACTATGTGACTCCGGTTGATGTGACCGTGCCAGGTGCACACAGGTGTCCCCCCGCGACGGACTGCCCTTTTGCATCTGGACAGCCATGACCATTGGAGGCAGAAAGGGTCAAGTGCAGCCCCTTTGCGATGTGGGAATTCACATCATTTCCCTTGGACTTGGGCGTGCCCCACGCAAGGGCCTCGGTTCCAAAGTGCAGTCCCTGTCTCCATCTCTCCACAGGGCTGTTTGAGCGACATAAGCTTCTCTTCTCCTTCAACATGACCATCAAGATAGAACAGGCAGAGGGGAGGGTCCCCCAGGAGGAGCTGGACTTCTTTCTAAAAGGTAACGAGCTCACTGGCTTTTCACTCTCCTGCCCTCTTTGGGCACCTGGGACATGTGTGTCCATTCACTATAAACACTAGCAGCAGCAAAATCCCTCTCAAGCTTGGTGTCCAAAGGCACGGTTCATCCAGCAACCCTCAGAAACACTTCCTGGTTGACTCAAGGCACTTTTGCCAGGGGCTGTGTTGAGACTGGAGGCCTGGCCAAGCTGCCCAGCTGGGCTCACTGGTGCCAAGCGCCAGCCCATGCCTCCTCACTCGCTGGCAAAGGGACCACTCCTTCAAAGCAGGAACCATGGAAATGTGGTGTGCATGGTCAGTGTGCATGGCTGTCACCCTCTTCTCTCTGTGATTAGGGAACATTTCCCTGGATAAGAGTAAACGGAAGAAGCCGTGTACCTGGCTGTCAGACCAGGGCTGGGAAGACATCATGCTCCTGTCAGAGGCGTTTTCAAACATTTTTGGGGAGCTTCCTGATGATATCGAGCAACACATCACCACCTGGCAGGACGTGAGTGCGCATTCTCTCCTCTCCTTCCCTACACAGCCGCCATCTCCACACTGAGCCCACAGCCTCCCTGGTGCCAGGAAGACACTTTCCAGGGAAGCTGGCACCCCATGTGGGCAGTGCCCTTGAATCCCTTCATCCAGTCCTGCTATCTATGTAGGAGAACCAGCCACCCCTTCACCTCCATCTGTCCCTTATCCATCCATCTATCCCTTATCCATCCATAATCTCTCTATCCTCCATCCATCTGATCATTCATCTAATTGCTGATCTGCCTATCTGTTCATCATCAATTTATCTATCACCATCCATCTATTCATCCATTTGTCTTATTACCCATCTATCTGTTCATTCACCCATCTGTCTATTACCATTCATTCACCCATCCACCCATCTGTTCATTCACCCATCTATTACCCATCCATCCATCCATCATTTATTCATCCATCTGTCTATTACCCATCCATTCATCTATTCATTCACCCACCCATCCATCTGCTCATTCGCCCATCTGTCTATTACCCATCCATCCATCTGTTCATTTACCCATCCAACTGTTTATGTATCTGTTCATCTAGCCATCACCCATTCATCAGTCTGTCCATATGTCCACCAGTCCATCCTTTAATTCATCTGCCCACCACCCATCTATCCAACTGTTTATCTGTCCACCTATCCCTCTATCACCCATCCACCTGTCCATCCATTCATCCAACTGTTCATCTATCCATCCATCCATATAATTGTTCATCTGTCTCTCCATCTCTCCATCACATATCACCTGTCCACCCATCCTTCCAAGAAATACTTCCTGAGCCTCTCCTGGCTCCCTGCCTGCCATCTGAACTCCATAGAGATTATGACTTGGCTTTTCCAGTTTTTCACCTCATGGTTTTTGGTGTCAACAGTGACAGCTGGATCAAAAGTTCAGATTTATCCTCTCTCTTTGGTGGCTCTTGGCACCTTCACATACACACGGTGGCCCGTGCCATTCCTGAGCTGATGCCCCGGTCAACACTCTTTGCTTCTGGCAGTGGTATGACCTGGATTCGCTGGAGCAGTTCCCCTTCCCCCTGGGCTATGACGAAAACATCACCGCATTCCAGAAACTGCTTATCTTACGCTGCTTCCGGGTAGACCGGGTATACCGTGCAGTGACTGACTACGTGACCCTCACCATGGGAGAGAAGTGAGTGCCCTACCCCTGGCCCACAGCAGCAGGGCTAGCCTGCTCTAAGGGACCTGGCCCGAGTGCTCCAGACAAACATGAGGGGCCACAGTCAGGCAGAAAGGGAAATTTAAAAGTATTTTAATATTATAAATTATTAAATTAATTTGTGCATGTGTGGGAGTACAGGTACATATGTGGGAGAGTAGGTGAGTGTGTGTGTGTGTGTGTGTGTGTGTGCGCGCGCGCGCGTGTATGTGGGGTATGTGTGTGTGTGTGCATGTGTGTGGGGTACGTGTGTGTGTGCGTGAGCGTGTGTGGGGGTGCATGTGTGTGCGCGAGCGCATTTCGAGAACAGACCTCAACCTTAGATGTCATTCCTCAGCAGCCATCCACTTTGTGGTGGTTTTTTTATTTTATTTTATTATTTTATTAATTTATTTTATTTTAATTTAATTTAATTTTATTTCAAGACAGGGTTTCTCTGTGTTGTTTTGGTGGCTGTCCTGGATCTTGCTCTGTAGACCAGGCTGGCCTCGAACTCAGAGATCAACCTGCCTCTGCCTCCCAAGAACTGGGATTAAAGGCATGCGCCACCATGCCTGGCACCTTTTCTTAATCTTCATTAGTTCTTTGAAAATTCCCTACAATGCATTTTGACATACCCGCCTCTCCTCTGGCTCCTCCCATCCCCCTCCCATCCATGCGTTCTCACCTTTTAAAAACCACTGAGTCCTCTTTGTGCTGTCCGTGTGTCTTGGATGCGTGGCCTTCCATTGGAGCGTGGTGGACCCACCGTGCTCACAGCTTTGGGAAAAGAAAGTACTCTATCCATTGCCAATAGCTCCTTGGGTTGGTGCCCACCTTCCTGCCAGAACTTGTGGATGATCCACAAGTCATATGGGTCCTGAGGGAAGCTACTCTGTTAAACAGATGCAATATTAAACTGATTTCTAATGATCCAATTCTGACCCTGCACAGAGGCTTCTTCCGGCAGGAATTCTGATTTTTTTTTTAAATATGAAATCCCCTTCTCTTTCTGCATTGGTTGCTGTCTTAGTCTGTTCCACCTTGCTACAACCAAATATTTGATGCTGGGTGATACAGAACAGAAAGGGGTTTATTTGGCTCATGATTCTGATGGCCAGAACCACAGCCTGGCTGCATCACAACCTGGCAAAAAGAGGAAGAGCCACGTGCCAAAGAAGCCAGGCACACGAGGAGCCTCACTTTGTAATTACCTGATGATGTGGAAAGGACCAGTCAGTCCTGTTGGAAGTGTGTTAACCCCTTTCAAGGCTGGTGCCTTGGTGACCAGCAGGCTCCACTCTTTAAACCCACCACCTCTGGATAGCATCATGTTGGGGTCCATGTGTGTTTGGGGGACAAACACTATCTAAAGTAGAGTATAACTGATTAAACACCCTATGGGGCAGTGTGGGGCATGCCCATAGAGCTGCTGATGAGTGATTTCTGGGTCTGTGCCCGAGGCCTGTGCACACGAAGGGCAGGCCAAAGCACCCGGCTCAGGATCTACTTGCTGAAACCCAGTGTGCAGAGATCACATGGGGTAGAGGGAGACGGAGGTCTCTGCTCCAGGAGGGCATCACCTGGTGTGCCAGATCTGTGTGTAGTAGGACTCTCAAAACACCAGGACTAGCTGGGCGGTGGTGGTGGTGCACGCCTTTAATCGCAGCACTCGGGAGGCAGAGCCAGGTGGATCTCTGTGAGTTCGAGGCCAGCCTGGGCTACAGAGCGAGATCCAGGACAGGCACCAAAGCTACACAGAGAAACCCTGTCTCGAAAAAACAAAAACAAAACAAAGAACAACAACAAAAACAAACCAGGGTCAATGTGTGAAGAGCTACATGAGAGTCCTAGTCCGCAGTTCTGGATGCTGAGGGGTGGGTGAGACAGTAGGCTAGGGAGGTGGCCTGGAGCTGTCCTGCAGGCTGCTTCACGTTCTCCGTTTCGCCAGGTATGTGCAGCCGCCGATGATCAGCTTCGAGGCCATTTTCGAGCAGAGCACCCCCAATTCGCCCATCGTATTCATCCTGAGTCCTGGCTCCGACCCTGCCAGTGACCTCATGAAGCTGGCCGAGCGGAGCGGCTTTGGGGGCAATCGCCTCAAGTTTCTTGCAATGGGTCAAGGTCAAGAAAAGGTAACTAGCAGGTTCCATGTGAGCTGTGGCCAGGAGTGTTGGGGGAGGCGGCGGGGGTGGGGGGGGGAGGAAGTCGGGCTCAAACCACGTGACACTGGAGATGGTTTGGCTGTGGTCTCCTCACCTCCTGTGACCACTGGACTCCACTTCAAAGCCCCCCCGTCACCACGGTCCCGTACGGGTCAGCGGTCTTAGGCTCCTGGTGTGTGGCTCCTGGGGATTTTTCAGGTGGCCCTTTGGAGGCTGTCTGTCCCATGCCATGCTCCCTGCCGGCTCACTGTGACAGGGTACAGCACTCAGGGAAACTCGGGGTCAGAGGAAGCCAACCACTAGCCCTGGCTTTGTTATGAAGTGTCTGTGAAGCTCTGGGAAACATGGCCACCAGCGCCCGGGACAGGAATAGTGAGTGACACTGGGTAGACAGGGCACGGCAGACAGAACTCTCTTTCAAACCTCAAAGCCAGAGGAAGCCATTTCCATGCGAGTGCCACCCAGGCCTTGGGGCCTCTGGAGACCAAGACAGTGTTGGAGGAGGGGCTGCTGCCTTTGCGGTACACTCAGGAAGGGGTCGTGGAGTGGACCACCTCTGTGCTCCGGGCCCTGTGGGTCTGGATCCTCTGGGCCAGTTCTGCTTCCTGGAGGGATGGGAAGAACTCCTGCAGGCCTGCTCAGGTGCAGTCTCGGATGCAGTGCGACTGTGAAGGAAGTTGGGGATCTTGGGGCTGTGGAGGCTGAAGAGGCTCATCGTGTAAGCCACGGCTGGCCCTGAGGTCACAGATGGCAAGAAGACTGTCCCGGGATGGTTTCCGCCTTAGCTCCTGGATCCCTGGATCCTTCTGGCCCCCTTGAAGCACAGGGTTGGCCTAGCTTGGGAACGATCGTCCGCCCCAACACCGCCTCACTCCCTCTCCTGCAGGTGGCGCTGCAGCTGCTGGAGACGGCCGTGGCTCGGGGACAGTGGCTCATGTTACAGAACTGTCACCTCCTGGTCAAGTGGCTGAAGGACCTGGAGAAGTCCCTGGAGAGGATCACCAAGCCACACCCTGACTTCCGTCTGTGGCTCACCACAGACCCCACCAAGGGCTTCCCCATTGGAATCCTGCAGAAGTCCTTGAAGGTCTGCCTTGGGGGCATCCATACAGAGATGCTACAGCTCTGGTCCCAGTCACTGTCATAGGGATCCTAGTGTGAAGGGGATACCCCGTGTACCCACCCCACTCTCCTTACGTGGCTGTGGGACTCGGGTGTGTGTGTGTGTGTGTGTGTGCGTGCGTGCGTGTGTGTGTGTGTGTGTGTGTGTGTGTGTGTGCACTCTCCAGATCTCCCGTTCCAGCTGGAGATATGCCGTGGGAGCAGGAGGTGGCAGAGGGCTCCTGGGTCAGGCCAGCCTTCTGCCCTTCGGCAGGTAGTCACGGAGCCGCCGAACGGGCTCAAACTGAACATGCGGGCCACCTACTTCAAGATCTCCCATGAAATGCTGGAGCAGTGTCCACACATCGCCTTCAAGCCCCTGGTCTACGTGTTGGCCTTCTTCCACGCCGTGGTGCAAGAGAGGAGGAAGTTTGGCAAGATCGGCTGGAATGTGTACTATGACTTCAATGAGTCCGACTTTCAGGTGAGCGTGGCGACGTCTGTCCAGCCAGTCTGCCCCTACCTGGCTGGCTTCTGCACCTGCCTCCCAAGTTCACCAGCAACAGGGTGCAGGCTGGGAGTGGCCGTTAACCACAGCTCTTCCTCCTCTCTAAGGTCTGCATGGAAATCCTAAACACGTACCTAACGAAAGCCTTCCAGCAGCGTGACCCGCGCATCCCGTGGGGCAGCCTCAAGTACCTGATCGGAGAGGTGATGAGCCTTGGGTGCCTCCCGAGGACTGGGGTCTGGGACCGAGACACCTGTCCTTTGAACCCTTGGGATCGTCCTTGTTCCTGCCCCCCCCCCAACTCCTTACCACCCCAAGGCCCCTGAAAAATACTCTTGCCTCTTCACGGTTGTCCATTGACAAACTCCATTCCCAGGGAGCTCTCTTGTGTGACTCTAGGGCCGCTGGGCCCCCGCTAGTTCCTCGGGGCAGTTCCTAGCTTGCCGATGGACTGAGCACATCCAGGGAGCCTTGTGTTCTTGGGGTGTGGGTACCCTGACTCTAGCTGAACTCGTGGGGGAAAGCTCTAGATTCGGGAATTCTGCAATGCAGAAGGACTAACTGCTGGTGTCTAGGTTCTTGTCTGTCTGTCTGTCTGTCCCACTTGGGGATTTTCCCAGTTGCATTAGGCTCCCTGTAAGCTGCTTCAGACTTTTGTTCTGTTCAAGAAGTCAAGAAAAATCAAGACCAGAGCGTGATTTTATCGATAAGCCCCCTTCTTGTCTAGTTATTTGAGTCGACAGGTCGGAGCTGGGCAGTGATAGAACTGTAGGTACATGCGGGCTTATGGGTCCCCACTGGCTCTCCCCTACTCTGACCTCAGGTCATGTACGGAGGCCGGGCCATCGACAGCTTCGACCGGCGTATCCTCACCACTTACATGGATGAGTACCTGGGAGACTTCATTTTCGATACTTTTCAGCCATTCCACTTCTTCCGGAACAAGGAGGTGGACTATAAAATCCCCGTGGGTGACGTGAAGGATAAATTTGTGGGTGAGCTGTCCCAGGGTGAAGAAAGTTCTCTGAGAGATGACAGATTTTCATCTGCTTTTTTCTGTGGTCGACTCGAACTCTTTGCCACCATCTCCTGATGGGACTCTTGGGCTGGTCAAGTGAGGTTGTTCCCTGCCTCATCTTAGAGCTGCTCCTTAGCTGAGGTCACCAACCCTGGAACTTCACCCGGAAGGGCGGGTGACACAGGGAAGGTCACTCGGCCATCTGCACAGCAGATACAGTGCATGCGGACGGGAGAGGTGGCATGGGGTCTTTATTTGAAAACACATCAGCAGTGGAATTAATTTTGATTTTGGGAACTGTGCGGGGGGATGTGATCAGGAACACCCAGTACAACCTGCTCTCCCTCTCTCTGTGATTCTAGAAGCCATTGAGACCCTCCCACTTGCCAACACGCCGGAAGTGTTCGGTCTCCATTCCAATGCTGAGATTGGCTATTACACACAGGCAGCTCGAGACATGTGGTCCCATCTGCTGGAGCTACAGCCACAGACAGGTAGAGCTACCAGGGAGCCCCTCAGCTGGGGTGGGGGCAGAGGGGTGCCACTGGTGGATGCAGGTAGCTTGCCCAAGAACAAGGAGGCTCTCAGAGCCCCAGCTTCCACACAGCTAGCTTTGAGATCTCTTAAAGTGCCCTCCTTCCAGGGGAATCCAGCAGTGGCATTAGCCGTGACGACTACATTGGCCAGGTGGCCAAGGACATTGAGAACAAGATGCCCAAGATCTTTGACCTGGACCTGGTCCGGAAGCACCTGGGCTTAAACATTTCACCCACTTCGGTGGTGCTACTGCAGGAGCTGGGACGTTTCAACAAGCTCGCTATTCGCATGACCAGGTCTCTGGCTGAGCTCCAGAGAGTGAGTATGACCCATGGGCATGGGTCTACCTGTCAGGGGAAGCCCCTGGCCCTCCCACAGCCCTGCTGAGGACTCTCTTCTGACAACAGGCCTTGGCTGGGGAAGTTGGGATGAGCAATGAGTTAGATGACGTAGCCAGGTCTCTCTTCATCGGGCACATCCCTAACATCTGGAGGAAGCTCGCCCCTGACACCCTGAAGACCCTTGGGAACTGGATGCTCTACTTCCTGCGGAGGTTCAACCAGTACACACTGTGGGTGAGTGCCGGGCCACTGTGGGTCTGTTTCTGACCACCCCACCCACACCCGTCTTCCCAGCGTGGACCCCTGTGAATGCGTATCGGGTGTCCCAGGGATGCCCTCAGTTGCCATGGGGCAGTCTCTGCTGGTGTGCCTTTGTGAGTCTGATTTACTGTGCACATGAGATGATTTCATCTAAACGTCTTGGCATCTGTTCATTTTTAGGGTCTTTATCCTTCCTCCTAGGGGTGGACATTTCGGTGGCAACTGTGTACATATGTGTCACCAAGAGCACTGTGGTCACTGTCCATGAACGCAGTCAGTGTGCATACCACGCACCACAGAGCACACACGCACTTGATATATTTGTTGTTGTGAGATAGCCTCTAACTCTGTAGCCCAGGCTGGCTTGAACTGGTGGCCATCGTCCTGCCTTAGTCTCTCAAGTGTTGGGATTACAGGTGTGAGCTGAAGTCTGTCTGGGTTTTCTAGAAAGTCAAAGTCCCAATACTTGGGGAGTGACGTTTGTTTTCTTCTGTGTGGTCTCTGAGTTTGTGGCCTTTGCTCACTGATGGAACATCGGATTGTTTTGCTTCGCATTTCTTTAATGAAGGTGAAGTGGAGGGGGTTTTGTACGCTTCAAGACATTTGCGTTTTCTGTGAATTGTCGTGTTTGCTTCCTTTTGATACAAGACTCCATCTTTTTATATTGATATTTAAGTATGTGTATATCTGTGTGTGTGAAGGAATGCCTTCCACCTTATTTGAAGACAGGGTCCCTGGTTCGCTGCTAAGTCCTACAAGGTAGCTGGCCTGTGAGCCTCTGGCCATCCTCTTGTCTGTCCTCTGTCTTGTGGAGGGGCCCTATGTGGTTTCTAAGGGTCCAAACCCAGGTCTTCAGGCTTGTGTGGCAAGTACTTGGTCCAAGAACCGTCTCCTTAACCCTTTTCATTGGTTTTTAAGAGCTCTTTGTATATGACAGAAAGCAACCCTTGGTCCTCTGGTGATGCATGGACTCCTCCCTGCTGGGAGCCATTTACTTGGATGATGATGATGATGATGATGATGATGATGATGATGTGTGTGTGTGTGTGTGTGTGTGTGTGTGTGTGTGTGTGTGTGTGTGTGTATGTGTGTATGTGAAGGTTTTAAGTTTAAATACAGTCAAAAGTCTTTTCTTTGGTGGCTTCTGGACTTTGCAATTCTCCCCTTGAACTGATGTGGTACTTTTGTGGGTTTGTGTCTATCTGCATGTATGCATGTGTGTGCACATGTGTATAGAGACCAGACATGAACCTTGAATGTCATTCCTCATGGGCCATGACTTTGTTGAGACAGGGTTTCTCATTAGGACCTGGGGTTTACTGGTTTGGCTAGGCTGGCTGGTCAGAGAACCTTAGAGATCTTTCTCACCTTTCTCTTTTAGCACTGGGATTACAAGCATGTGCCACCATGCCTGATTTTTTAATGTGGGTTCTGAGGATCAAATCCCCACATTTGTATGGCAAGCACTTTGATGACCTTGGTGTCCCCCTAAATTTTTTGGCCTACCTGGAGTTTGGTGGTCAGTTTTCCCTAATGGGCAGCTAATTGATCTAACATCAGCATTTGTCACCATGGGAAATCAGGTCTTTTATCCGCTTTGAACCGGTGTCATAGCCCAGGCTCTTGCTCCTGTCCACCTTCCCTACCAGGTTACCGAGAGCGAGCCCAGTGTGATGTGGCTCTCAGGGCTGCACATACCAGAGTCCTACCTCACGGCACTGGTACAGGCCACATGCCGGAGGAATGGCTGGCCACTGGACCGGTCCACCTTGTTCACACAAGTGACCAAGTTCCAGGATGCTGATGAAGTAAATGAGCGTGCAGGGCAAGGTACGGTGAGGGTCACGTACCCTGGTCTCTATTTGGGGCTTCTCTCCCGGGACCATCCCCCAGCTCAAAGGGACACGCACCGTGTGGATCAGGCCATGCTTGAGCTGGGCTGCTGCCTACAGTGGTATCTCAGAGAGCAGTTTCTCACTGGAGACTGGCACAGTCACGGTGGATGGCAGGGAGGCCTAACCATGCTAGTTTGTGGCAAGTGGGCTCCCAGGTCAAGTGAGTTTTCAAAGAGATCCCTGAGTGCCTTTCCCTGAAGGGCGGAAGTGTGGGAGCCAAAGAACACACAGGCTAGCCTGGAGCCTGGTCTGGCATGCCCAACCTTTTTGTTGTTGTTTTTGTTGAGACAGGGTTTCTCTGTGTAGTTTTGGTGCCTTTCCTGGATCTCGCTCTGTAGACCAGGCTGGCCTCGAACTCACAGAGATCCACCTGGCTCTGTCTCCCGAGTGCTGGGATCAAAGGCGTGCACCACCACTGCCCGGCTCATGCCCAACCTTTTGGCATTGTGACACGACACTACAAAGTTCCCACTTGAGAACCGCATAATCTAAAAATCACGAAAAAACAAAACAAACAAACAAACCACCTCTCCTAGGGTTTTAAGTAGTCTGCAATTGTAAGGGCTGCAGTCATCCCTTTCCTCTGCCCATGGGATACATCTACTAGAAGATGTGCTGATTTCAGCTCAGCCAGCAGCACTCTGTGCAGGTGCCCGCTGGAAACTGTCTCCCTAGCCAGAGTCCACTCAACTGCAAAGAACAGAAGCCCCTTTGTATCTCGTTCAGAGTGGATTCATGGACAAGTCTCGGGGACTCTCAGGTCTCACTGGTGAGCATCCAGCTGCCACTCTGTGGGGCAGGTGGACAGTTTTTGCCTTTGGTGAGAGCGCAGAATCAGAGCCACTATAGACCAGTGTTGACGTTCTCACTTTTGGGGTCTCTGCATGCTAGAGACCACACTCCTCTTGGATTTCCCCCTTTGGTTCAGAGGATGCGGGGATTACCGTGTGCCCATTCTGAGCTGTGTGTCCTGAAGCCAGGGTCCAGGGAGAGAGGTGCTGTCTGGACCCACTTCCTCGGAACCCCATGTCTTCTGTCTAGCTATTCTTTTACACGGGGAAGTGGGGGCAGAGTTGAGCCCCCTCAGTGGCCTTTGTACTTGTCCTCTGTGCACACCTTTGAGAGGCGACACAGATGCATCTTGTCACCCCCAGGGTGCTTTGTCTCGGGGCTCTACCTGGAGGGCGCTGACTGGGACATAGAGAAAGGGTGTCTCATCAAGAGCAAGCCCAAGGTGCTGGTGGTGGACCTGCCCATCCTGAAGATCATCCCCATTGAAGCTCACCGCCTGAAGCTACAGGTGACAGTCACCTCCCTGGCCCCATCCCTCCTCTCGGGGCGGGATTAACGCTATGGGGCCAGTTCATGGGTAAACACTCTGGCATACGTGCATGTGGGTGTCCATCATCCACAGGGGTCAAGTCCAAGCTCAGAGCCGGGGGAAACTCCCTCCTTAGGAAATTCTGGACACACTGAGAGTCAGAAAGTGGCTGTTTACTGTGGATGGCAGGTGCCCTCTACCTTGCCTGGCTGGGGACCATCTTTGAGGAGCTGTCTGGGGACCAGGCGGCACTGGCCCAGCCGCCCCACGGTGAAGTACTCAGGTTGAATCCCTCCAACCCTGAGGGGATGTCCCCTGCCTTCCCCTTGCAGAACACCTTCCGGACCCCGGTCTACACCACCTCCATGAGGAGAAACGCCATGGGAGTTGGCCTAGTGTTCGAAGCTGACCTCTTTACCACCAAGCACATCTCACACTGGGTGCTACAGGGGGTGTGCCTCACCCTGAACTCGGATTAACCCCAGCGTGTGGAGGACTACATGGAGCTACCATGCCTGTGGCATGCCACACCGGTGCTGGCGCCTCGCCAAGAATGGGAGAATGACGTCATTTCATGGAGTTTCCCCGGGGGGGCCAGGTAGAGTGGCGGGGGACTGTGTTTGATGCCGATTTTCCTTGCAGTTGAAATCAGTCATCTAAACGTATTTTTCCATTAAATGAATCTTGTTTTGCAATGGGTTTGTGTGTGTGGATGCATGTCAATCTTCTTGTTCATTCCTCAAGTACTTTCCTTGTGTTTTTGAGATACAATCTCGTTATCCTGGCGCTTGCTGACTTGCCAAAGCCTCAGGGTCCCTGTCTTCACCTCTCCAGGGCTGGGGTCACACACAAATCTGCACCACCACACTTAGTTTTTGTTTGTTGTTTTTTAAGATTTTATTTCTGTGTATGTGTGTGAGCCTGCCTGAATACACGTGCACCACATGTGAGGTGTTGGGGTCCCTGGAGGTACAGCCAATTGTGAGCCGCCATGTGGGTGCTATAATCAATCGGCAGCAGCGATTCTAGCCTTGGCTTTGCTTCTCCATCTTCTCGAGAACTCTGGATACAGCACGCACCAGTGCAGGTTTTAAGGCAAGTGCATTCTCTTCCTTCCTATTGAGCCACTGGTGTGGGTTCTACCCGTCTCGGCTCCGGCACCTGCCCTTTGCTGGCAAGCGCAGGGAAGGCTGAGGCTGCTGGGGCATGTGTTCAGTCCTGCCCAAGCTCCAGACTCCCCCTCCCAGGGCCTTTGTGTGGCTTGGGGACAAATGGCTACTGGCTGTCTCTCTCATACTGTGAGGCTGGCCTGGCCAGCTGGGGACAGGGAGGCAGTGCGGAGCCTGGGCAGGACAGAACGCAGCTTCTGCCCGGAAAGGCAGGAGTCCCAACATCGCAGCGACAGCTCTGTGCAGCGAGCATCCCCAGCCCACCTGCCAGTCCTCCCTCCCACTTCCTCCAGTCCCTCGGTGCTTCAAAAAGACAGAGGAGAAGGAGGGTGGGTTTAGAAAATAACATTTGTTGGATCCTGAACATTTGGATGAAACTAACAAAAACTTATGAACACACCTTCAGGTTGGGGTGACATGAGGGGTGAGGTCATCTTGCTTAGGTCATCATGTGACATACAGCTGCTGGGCAAAGGGACCGTGGGAAGGCAGGAGTCTCCCCGTGGGGGCAGAGGCTGCTGCTCTGCTAGGCTGCCCTGGATCTTGGGAGAGGCGAGACCTCAGTTTGCTCTGACTTCAAGCGCTTCGGATTCTGAGTGTGGCATGTGATGCAGCCGTGGCCTGGGCCTTGTCTAGGACTGTGCCGAGATCTCATGGCGAGGGGCTGGAAGCAAGCTATTGGCATGCAGGCATTGGCCACAGTGCCAGTAAATATCTTCAGTGGGGACACCATCATAGCATGTGTCACTATGGGCCAGGAGCCAGGCTGCGGCGATGACGGGAGGAAACGTTTGGCATGGGCGGGGCGAGGAAGGTGTGGGCGAGGTTCCCTGTGCCGGCGGCGGCGGCGGCGGCGCTCACAGTGCGTGGATGGCTGCGGGGCTGGCCGCAGGCTTCACACAGTTCGGTCCGTCCCTGAGTGCTTCCTCACCACCTTCCCTGTGTTCACTTGGTCCACAGCCCTCGTCTCCCCCTCAGGCTGGGCCTGGGGTGGACTGGCATGATGGATGCGGTGAGCCACCCCGACATGGGTCTTGTGTGGCTTGTCTCGGGCTGGGCTGTGTTGCCCGCTGGCGCCACGGTCTGAGGCGATGGGAGGTATGACCAGAGGCCGCTCCTTGAGCTGGACCTCAGCAGACTCCCGGGCCAGCAGGAATGGGGTGGGATCCGGCATCGCGTCCACCGGCTCCCGCAGAAGGAGTTTGCGGCTCTCGGCTCCGAACCTGTAGACCTCCTCAAACTCAGGGTGCAGTGGGGCCGACAGGCTCTTCTTCATACGGCGGCGGGGTGTCTCCGGCAGCTTGTCCTTGGGGGGTGTGGGCTTGTAGCTGGCCAGTGCAGGGCCGCCGGCTGGGCTGGCGTCAGAGGTGCCGCTGGAGCTCAGGAGCTTTTTCTTGGCTGCATGCAGCTGCGAGGTGAGGTAGGCCACGGTGCTGGCGCGCTGCTCTAACTCGCCGGACAGCATGCTCAGCTTGTGGCTCTTCACCTTCAGCTCCTCCAGGTACTTCTTCTCTCTCTCACGGACGGTATTCTCCAGCACAGCGATGGCGGCGTTCTTCTGCTCCAGTTCTTGCAGTAACTTGTGGTTTTCTTCCTCCTTGGCCTTCAGCTGGGCCTCCAGCTCTTCACAGCGCCTCTTCAGCTCCGTTGTTCTGGAAGAGCCGTCTCCTGCAGGAAAAGTCAGGTGCAGGTCAGAGCCCAGTAGAGGAAGGAGATGCTCGTGGCCTGTGTGGAGGGCCCTGGCGAGGAGCCCTATGGTAGGCAGGGTGCAGGATGGCCTGTAGGCCCTGCTCCCACTAAAGGCGAATCAGGGGGTCTCGAGGCCCCTCCCAGCTCTTGGTTCCCTGGCTTACTGCGTAAAAGAATGTCTCCAGAATCTGAAGGTGCTGAGGTTAAAACAGCTTGAGCGTCAGCTGGAGTCAGCGTCTCTGGAGTGCCAGCTCTACAAGTGAAGGGTGTCAGACATGTCCCTCAGGCCTGACCCTGCTCTCTGTCACCTTCATTCTCCCAGCTGCCCCATCTAGAACCTGCCCTCTCTGCTCCTCTGGAGCTGGCTGGCAGCCTGCTCTCCTCTCCGACCGTCTGGCCTACTGCCCACTGGGCACCACCATCTCCCAGGCCTCCTCCTTCAGTCTGCCCTGCTCCCTTCTTCCTCCCTTGGCCAACAATAACGCCTCATGGCAAACAAGCTGCCAGTCTGACAGTCCATCTGTTCCATGCCTTCTGCTCCCACATGAACCCTGAGCTGCCTGTCTCCTTGTTTCTTGTGTGTTGTGACCACTAGGGTTGATTCAACTCCAGATCTGGGCATCCACAATCTGCCGACAACCCTGTAGTGCCATGGGTTCTGGGAGCATGCTGTACCTCTCTAAGCCGGCAGCTTCAGGTGTCCTCTGAGCTATTAAGAAGCCCCACGGGCGAGTGTACACTCACTGCAGGTAAACACAGACTGTGTGTGTGTGTGTGTGTGTGTGTGTGTGTGTCTGTCTGTCTGTCTAGAGAGACTGAATCAGCAAATGTTATCCCTAGAAATGATGCAGTATGAGTCTTGGGTTTTTAGCCATAACCAAAACAACACCACCACCCCACCCCAGCACTAGATTCTCCAGTGCAGTGAGGAACCCCAGCCCAGTCATCAGGCTTGACATCCACGCTCTTCCTCCACACACCTGCAGATGGGCCCTCCTCTCGGCCCTACCTCTGAACGTGATAGACCTACAATCTCAGGTCTTTGGCTGCATCCCAGCCAGACACAACATTCTGGCATCCGTGTCCTCAGGGAATGCTAAGAGGGCTGAGGGCTGACAGACCTGGGACAGTAGAGCAGACTCCCTGGTGCTGGTCAGACCCAGACCTTGACAGTCACAGGTTCTGGGCCATTACAGACACTGTCTGAGGCACACAGCCCTGGTCCCAGCAGAACAAGAAATCCAGGGCTCCTCAGTAAGGTGCTTTTTTTGGCTTCCTATCCCTAAGAGGCCTGGGCAAACACTGTCCTTCCCTGAAAATGACCTAGCTACCCAGCTGTCTGCTCTCCAGTGCAGTCTTGGCCAGATCTAGCAGGTGCTTCTGGGAGATGCTGGTACCCCAGTCCTCTACATAATCCTCTCTAGAAATTTCTGACCTCCAGGTCTAGTCCACAGACCTCTGCTCCCCACTGAGCAGTACTGCTTGAATCTGTTTGTGTCACTGGGCACTCAGGTGTGTAGACCACAGGGGAGAGACTCATGATCCTTTCTGACCTGCCTTCTTAGCTTGTGTGTGATGTGCCCTGAACCGAGCACTAGTTTCACCCCGAGGATGGGACATGCCCCCACAAAGGCCACCCACCCAGAGGCTTTTCAAACCGCCCCCTCTGCTGAAGCAGCACCGCATGCACCTTTGACAAAAGCCATGCTGCTGCTGAGGGTGTCCTAAAGGGCTTGAGGGGACTTGAGACAGAGGCTCCAGAGCTGCTGCAGACTAATCTGGGCAAAAGGGGGAGGTGTGGGGACACCCTGGCCCCATAGCACAGGCCGCTCCTTCTTTCCCAAGGCCTGTCATGGTGTGTGTGTGGGGGGGGGGGGGGGCAGACCAACCACAGGTTGCAACTCTATCCTGGCAGACAGAGGACTCGGGTGTCTTTGTTCTGTGCAGATTTTGGTGGGTAGGCTCCTGCTCCAAGGCCTATGAAGCCTGACAGGGCCTTCTGCACCCACTCAGACAAAACCACGGCAGGAGTGCTCAGGAGTTACCCAGGGACAGAGTAACAAATGCTCAGTGATGTGACCTGAGGCTTCAATGAAGACTGGACTCTCATGAGAGCTTAGTTAGGGGAAAGGTCTCCCCAGATGCATGTCCCATACCCTTCAGTCCCGGCTGGGTGCTAAGGAACATGCCATTCTCCCAGGCCCAGAGCTCCTAGAAGACCCTGTCTCTATCATTTCCCTGGCCACCACTGGTTCGCTATACTCTTGGGGTCCCCAGTGAGTCTCACTTGGGAAGTGTATCTAGACCACAGTCCAGAGAAAGATGGTCTCAACTTGTGGACCCACAGCCCTCCCCCCACATGGAGCACGGTGGCTGTGGGTCAGCCTTGGGTAAACTCTGGAGACTGGGGGAGGGGCTTCTGCCTAGCCGTCACTTCTCCTTTCTGGCAAGTCACACTGAGGTCTATTTCTGGATTACAGCGGGATATACAGTCATGGTAGAAAAGCTAGAAAATTCTGAAAAGTATGTAACAGACATTCTAGACATAAGTATCAATGGGAAGTGAAAAAGGCCACTCATCACTCCAGCCCAGGTGTCTGAGGGCACAAACTTGTCTCTGTGCGGGAAAATCACCCTAAGCACGTGACCAGTGGGAATACATTGCCAAGAAAACAAGATGCACCCATGTGTGGGGAGGAGCTCTTACCTGTCACTTCGAAACTTTTGAGTGTCAGCTCATAGGTTAGATCTACAAAGGAAACATGACACACTGATTATCGTGACATACTTCACATCAGTTCTGAAAACAGCACCACATCCCAGCTGAGTGAGTTCTACTGTGTAGAAGCAGGATCGATGTAAGAAACACCAGGGGTCAAGGTTCCCATCGGGGCTGCAAGAGGACCTGGGCCTCATCTTCCCCGCACACCCCAACAGCACAGCAGAGCGCGGGAGCAGCTGCCCCGGGACTGAGACTGCGCTGTGGTGAGTGCCGGGGCACCTGCTCTTCTAGGGCAGGGCGGCAGCTGAGTGCTCAGAGCTTCCGGGAGGCTGGCTGGGTGGTGGGAAGGCTGGCAGGGGTGTAAGTGGGGAGGGCCTGGCGCCCCCCGACAGCGGCTGCGGCCTGCCCCCACCTGTGCAGTGCTGCTGCAGCCGCCGGATCTCAGCATGGAGCCCCTTGAGTGTGCTGGCATGTTCCCGCTGGAGGAAGAGCAGGTTCTTCTGTGCGCTGTGCAGCTGGTTCTCCAGGTTGGTGGCTGCCATGCTGACATCCAGGTGACCTGCAGGAAACACAAAAGCATGAGAGTTGAGAGGAGGTGGGGCTCTGGGTACAGGTCACGGGAATATAAGGGAGCAGGTGAGGTCCTGGGGCTCCAGGGCCCCCTTCTGATGAGCACCTGCCACATGCCAGGCCTCTGTGAGAGCCAGCTGAGGGCATGAGTAGTGCCCAGTCCAGGACCCCAGGCTGCTTCTCCTTCCTGGAGAGGAAGAGACTCGGAAGGAAGACTGAAGAGTCGGTAGATGGAGCAGGCTTTATTCAAATTCAGGTCTCGTCTTTCCAGTCCTGACTTCTGTGACTGGCCCAAAGCACCCCCAAGAGATTCCATAACTAGGAAGCAATAATGCCCCACAGAGAACCTGGGGCCAGGACCACCTGCAGTGGGCTCCTAGGCACATTACCTGGGAGCTACTGAGGTGAAGAGAAGACAGAGAGGAAGGAGAAATCTGTGGCTACAGAAGTATGGGGTCCTCAGGCCCCGCCCTCAACTACAACTGGAGTAATGTGAAGTCAGACCATGTTTCTAGAAAAACTAAGGGACCTGGCCCAGCACTGGGACACAAGGACAGAACACGGTCACTGCAGCTCTCGGTGCCTTCCCACAGGCCCTTCCCGAAGGAGCCTTCTCAAGGGCCTCTAGCATGCCCCTGGGGTCCGCAGCACACACCGCTGCCATCAGCTGAGGAGCCGTGTGTTCACCACTCAGAACTGTTTCCAGTGGACTCTAGCCAGGCCTGCCTTCCCTCACACCATCTGCTGAGGCAGCCAGGCCCCACCCCGCTCTGCCGCAGGAGAGTCGGCAAATGCTCCGAAGGAAACAGAAAAGTGACCGGCGGGGCCAAGGAGACAATAACACATCCTAGCAGGACAATGGTGACAAAAACCAGGACACCTGAGTTAGGGGGACCGGGGCAAGGAACAAAGTTTGGTCTGGAGGGCATAAGCTGGTGAGCTCCATCTGTGGAAGAAGCATCTAGCCAAGGCATGTCAGCAGCCTCAGCAGCCAGCTGCAGGGCAAGGTGGACCCTGCACCTCAAGACCCCAGTACTGTGTGCCAAGTGCATGGCCTTGGAAGAGGGCACTGACCATACCAGAGGAGCCAGTACAACCAAGGCCAAGTGAGCGGTGACATGTGAGGAACGGTCCCTGGGCCGCACCCACAGCAGGAGCCTCAGTCAGAAGGGCAGCCCGGCCTGCGGTCTGAGCCTCTGGGATGGCAATGGTCTCCTGCACTCAGAAGCACTTCGTGCTCAGCCTGGCAGGAAGGACGTCTGGGGCCACCTGGACCCGTGTGCTCAGTGTCTGGAGGCTGGGCGGGGGGAGGCCTGACAACCGTGTTTGCAGAGGACAGGCTCAATTCCAGGTCCTGTGAGCTCAGGGAAAGCCGAGCCCAGGTTTCAGGACTTGCAGGTCTAGGAACACAGGGCAGCAACCTGGGCCTAGTATGAGCGCACACAAGTGCCACCCCATTCTGACCCAGCTCCCCATGCCATCCGCCAACCTCCACTGCTGTCAGGCCTTGTCTTGGTGACCCATCTGCATTCAAACTCTCAAGGCCATTCTGTGTCCTGACTAGGGAGGTGGGGTGTTTTAGGGTCCCTGGCTCTCTGGAGCCCCAGTGCACTGGCAGTAGCGCAGCTCTCTTCAGAGCTTATCAGTGCCATCCAAGGGCAGCACAGCCCTCTGCGCCCTCCTCTATCTGCCTTCCCAGGATCCCCAAGGTCGCAGCCTAAGCTCTGCTGCTTTCCAAGCCCCGGCCTCAGATGGGGCTGTGTCTCACACCCCTGGCCACTGTCCGAGAGTGGGCTTATGGGCACGTGTCTCTTGCCTTTATCCTTGCATGGCCTGCAGGCTTGTCCCTGTCTCGACCTAAGCCCAGTCCAGTGCCTGCACCCAGGAGGCCATGGTAAACACCAGTGGTGACCTACAAGCACCAAGGCCCATGTAGACAGGGGCTTCCTCCTCAGGTCTGTAACTCACAGCATGCATGCCCAGAGAAACTGTGTACTTTAATAGTCTAAACTTTAAGACCTCTCATGTAGCTCTGAGAGAATATCCTGTCTACACAGGGAGTCAGATACTTGCTTTTATAGTCTACGCTGGGCCCCTCAGTGGCCACCCTGTCCCAATCCCCGGGTGGTAGGTAAGTTTTATTTGAAATCCATTTAAGTATGGTTTACAGAACTGATCCTATTTGGATTGCCTTAGGGAATCAGTGCTTGAACCTAACTCTGGACTCCAGAATTCATGGTTGTCTTGCTGCTACAGTTATTACCCTAGAACAAACCCAGGTGTGCAAAGAGTGCCATGCACCACCAGGGAGGTTTGCTGGGCCCTGAAATATGTACTGACATTAGGACAAGGACTTTCAGCCCTGTGGTAGTCCTGGCTGTCTAGGTCCCCTTATGTCCCTCCTCTGGGAGGCCCTAATAGGCTCCAAAGAGGAGATCTGTCTATGCAGGTGTATGGGGCAAGGCATGTACACATGGGACTAAATTGTGTCGAGATGGCTAAGTGACTTTCTCACCATCTGGGCAGGATGGTGGTGTTACTGAATCCATAGGGGAAGGAGCTGCATAGCTTGAGTCAATGATGTGAGTCTTCTCCTGAGCTACTGATCCCATACCATCATTAGAGATGGTATGCCGAACTTGATGCTGGTCCCCAAGCAACTTCAAGAGTCAGACCCATGGGAAAGGGTACACTGCTGGGTCTGGAACTGGTTGGTATAATGGATGGAGTCAACTGTGGGTTTTCTGCAGATGGCTAATGGGTCCCAGGCTACCACCTCTGAGCATCCTGCCGATACTGCCATTCTGTGTGGTGAGGGCACCACCCTGCTCATGGCTCTGAACTGTGGTCTTTGCCCCGGGGTGATTCAACTGTTTCTGCGCCCGAGAGCCACCAACAATTTCACAGCTCTGTGCAGGCAGCAGGGGCTAAACACTTGTCCCCTTCTCCTGGAGACTCTGCTCTCAGTTGCAGGTAAGGTTCCAAGCCACTCACTCATTACGAGGGGCCTGGCCCAACCCCAGTGAATGTACACAGACCTGTAGTTTCTCTCCAGACAGCTCCAGCGGTGGGCACAGGGTGAGGCAGGCACTCAGACACTTGCTGCAGTTACCTCCCTGGCACCACGAGCACCATCAGTTCACATCGTCCTCTCTGCGCTCAGCAGACCTATGGGGAAGTCACTGTTTGTTCTGCAGCGGGCTATAGAGACCAGGGGAACTGGGCCACCATTTCTGGGGATAACTTGACACTAATGAAGGCCTTGGTGACTAAGGACCCTGTCTGTATCGGTTCTTGCCATCATTAAGACAAACGGCCTGTCAACAGCCAAGCCCAATGATGCCCATCCTGACCCCCAGGTGCTGGTTGCCTCTTAGCCCCAGGGCACTGAGATCCTCCTTCTGGAGCATGCTGCACCAGCACTCTGTCACCTGCTCTGGCAGTCCTCTTTGCAGGACCGAGGACACTCTACTGAAACAGGGAAGCTAAGACATGGCCCTGAACCTGGCAGTCCCCCTCAGCCTTAGGGTCTGCAGCAGTAACCTTCAAGGCTGGGCAGATGTGGATTTCCACCGGGAGGCAAAGCTTCCCGTAGTACACATCCAACCTCTGACAAAGCGCACAGACAAAGCAAATCTGATGTAACTCAGCTCCAGAGGAGAGTGGATGACCGTTCTCCTGCAGGGTGGAGGCCAGGCACCGTGCCTGTTCTGATGACCAGACATGGCTCTCCACCCTCTGGGTTCCCCATCTATTCCCGAGACAATCACGAACCAGCCCTGCTTTTAAGACAAGAAGGTGGGCAAAGGCACAGCCTTCTGGGCCTCACCAGCACCTCTGCAAAGCAAGGTTGCTTCAGAAAAACTAAGAGGAATCCCACCCTCAGGATGTGTGTCCTCATACCCTGGATAACAGCAGGAATGGCCAAGGGCCTGATTCACACTCACCCTTTCTGTCCCACAGCCAGAGCCTCTGGGGACTGACTCAGCACAAGATGTCCTGAGCCAAAAGTAGTGTTCTACTCAGCGGTGAGCTGCCAGACACCATTTGGGTGTGCCTATGAGGGGGAGACCCACAGCCAGGTCCAGATATTCCCCTTTCCAAAACATATCCTTTTATAGCACCCCTGTGCACACACTCACCTGGCCTACATTTTCATGGCAAGCGCCTGATGCCCTAGCCAGGCTGCACCTCCCCAGCCTTGTCCCCTCAGGTCACCAATATGCTCTTAGCGCATCACCACAGTACCCCTTGCCCCTCTTTATCTGCCACACTGGGCCTTTGCACCCCGTTCCCCTCTGTCTGGACTACTCTAGGCAACCCCTCCTTCTGCCCTCTTTCTCCTCCCCCCCAAGAACTCATGCATTACGCATGCATTTCAGATAATTTTATCCTGCTCCACCATGGGCTGGGGAGAGGCTGGGCCCGTTACCTCCCATTAATCAAAAAGCACTGCGGCACATTGATCTGAACATGACCTCATCCCATAAAGTCTCGACAGCCTGAGAAGATATTTTAAAGCAGCTACATTTAGCAGACGAAGAGAAATGAGTATCTCTGGGGGAGGGGTCTCATTTAAACACAGCCTCTGGGCTATTCAAAGCAGTCTAATTCACAAAGCCAAGGAGGTAACGATTTCAGAATATGAGAACGGTGCCTAGTGTGACTGAAGGCTGGTTAGAGCAAGCTATTATTGAATCTACTCATCAATTAGTTAGAGCTCATCTGCAGTGGGTCCTCTCTCCCTGAAGGACGGATACACTGTCTCCCCTACTTACTGCAAGGACCTGTCCTGGGCACTACACACCATCTCAGTGTTGGAGCTTGAGGACCACTGGGACTTTTTGTAGGAATTTCTGTACTGCTCTGGTTTCCTGAAGCTTAAGGACTGCTGTCAGGAAAAATATTGGCCAGGAAGGAAGGTATGCTACTCATTTCTAGGTGGATGTGTGGGTTCAGAGGACACCAGGGAGAAAAAAACCTCTGACT